GTACGGTAAATGTTATAAGAATAAATATTCGCCACCTGTACCAGCAGTACGGCTAATGTGATGACAGTAAATACTCGCCCTTGTACCAGCTGTACGGTAAATGGTATAAGAATAAATATTCACCCCTGTACCAGCAGTACGGTAAATGTTATAACAGTTAATATTCACCCCTGTACAGCAGTACGGTAAATGTTATAACAGTAAATACTCGCCCCTGTACAAGCAGTACGGTAAATGTTATAAGAATAAATATTCACCTCTGTACCAGCAGTATGGTAAATGTTATAACAGTAAATACTCGCCCCTGTACCAGCAGTACGGCACATGTCTTAACAGTAAATACTCGCCCCTGTACCAGCAGTACGGTAAATGTTATAACAGTAAATACTCGCCCCTGTACCAGCAGTACGGTAAATGTTATAACAGTAAATACTCGCCCTTGTACCAGCAGTGCGGTAAATGTTATAAGAATAAATATTCGCCCCTGTACCAGCAGTACGGTAAATGTTACAACAGTAAATACTCGCCCTTGTACCAGCAGTGCGGTGAATGTTATAAGAATAAATATTTGCCCCTGTACCAGCAGTACGGTAAATGTTATAACAGTAAATAGTCGCCCTTGTACCAGCAGTACGGTAAATGTTATAAGAATAAATATTCGCCACCTGTACTAGCAGTACGGCTAATGTGATGACAGTAAATACTCGCCCTTGTACCAGCTGTACGGTAAATGTTATAAGAATAAATATTCACCCCTGTTCCAGCAGTACGGTAAATGTTATAACAGTAAATATTCGCCCCTGTACCAGCAGTACGGTAAATGTTATAACAGTAAATACTCGCCCCTGTACAAGCAGTACGGTAAATGTTATAAGAATAAATATTCGCCCCTGTACCAGCAGTACGGCAAATGTTATAACAGTAAATACTCGCCCCTGTACCAGCAGTGCTGTAAATGTTATAACAGTAAATATTCGACCCTGTACCATCAGTACGGTAAATATATCAACGGTATATTATCGTTCTTGTTACAGTCTCAAATTAGGTGTTAACCCCTGAAATGTCATTCTCGTAACCACACGCCCGTATATTATAATGTACACAGATGTCACCGTAACCCCTTGTCATTTATAGCCTGTATTCACCCAGTGTGTTGCACACAGCTCTACAGGCACCGCTGCACGTCTAGTAATGCTCACACGCTAATTGATCAGTGGAGATTAGATCCTAGAGTCGATAGCCTCACGGACACGTCAGGTATGTCTCTTATCAAACTGCCACTAGGTGCATCCCGAATATCATTAACACCTGTACTATCCAGTATTACACCAGAACAAACATCAACGAAGACTCATTAAGCGGGCAGGGTACCTTATAACCAACAGCAATCAATAGGTACATTTTTTCGAGAATAATAAAAGCTTGTAATGGAACACACCCTCCAAATGGGTCATTACTCATATCTGACAGTGCTTCTGAGCAACAGTCCGCCTAGACTGACGATGGGTCCACTCAGGGGAAGTTATACATTGGTTGTCGATGGTGTAAAAGATGATATATGGGTCCATTGAGTGTATGCAAGGGCAGAATTATCTAAGTTACAGTGAATGTTTACGTAGCTGTGGTGTTTTACTTTGTCAACTTTCACAACTGTCAGAGTGAACTGTCTTTAAATGATTTACACACAAATTCCACTGATGGTGTATTCATAAAAGGCAGTTGGTAGCTCGGTGGGTAAATCGTTTGCTTGTCGCATTCAGAACTGTTTCGCAGATCGGTCCCAGCCCGTCCCTCGACAAATTACTGATGTTATATACCCAGAGGCTCTCATGGGTGGGATACCAGCTGCGGCAAGGGTGCCAATGTTTGTGATTGAGGGGTACTTTATTGCTGTGAGATACTGAGACGAGATTTACAAAAGACCGCCTCACGGTTTTTGCAACAGAACGACCATGCGGTGACGCTTCAACACAATGATACCAGACCAGTACCTTAATACCAACAATATCAACGTGTTGCCCCGGACCGCAAGATACCCTGCTTTGTTGCCCGTTGAACACGCCTGGAATGAAATGGAACGTCGGTTACGACACTACCCGAATCCAACAACGTTTCAGGAACTCCGCCAAATCCTTCCTCGGATACGGAATTATCATCCTCAAGACTTCATCCACGTGTAGTGAGTGGCCTCATGAGGCAAGGATGCCAGATGCATCCATGCACGACATAGGCGGATCCTGGAATTTTCAAAGGGGGGTGGGTGAACCCCCTTTGCTCCGCCAATGCTAAACATTAACTTCAATGTGGTCTTTAGTTATTTTCAAAAGGACCCCCCACCCACCCCTCACCCCCGATCCGCCATTGCACGAGGTGGACACTCTCGCTACTGACAATGTGAACTTGGTTGATACCCCTTTTTTGTATCGTTCCTCATTTGCCGTTGACAGACGTTGATTGTTACCATGCATTAAAATAATTTAAGAAAAGCAAGATTTATGGATCTCAACGTCTCTATTGTGAATAAGACGACGTTTCGGGGTGTATGCTTGCTCCTTCATCAGGTGAGCATTGCTCCTTCGTCAAGCATACACTCAGAAACGTGGTGTTATTCACAATAAAGAAGTTCATAAATCTTGCTTTCCTTACGCTTTCCACTTCTAAATGCCCTTCAAAGATTTGATTAAAGTGTTTGTCTTTCCGTGTAGTAAAATTTCATTCGCTGCTGCAAAATGATTCTGAATGTTTTTGTGTCACAATAACTTTACCCTTGAGTATATTAATGGATGCTTGAGTTGACCATATTTACATTGCCACTCTCTCACTTAACATGATATGGTTGTTAGATGGAATAACACTGAATTGCTATGAACTGCATAATGCTTGGAGAACTTCGTGGCTGGGAATTTCCGAACTTACAACTTGTTTTCATCTGACAATTCATACGTTTTTGTTGTATGCGTTCAGCTTCCTTTCTTCCTCGACCAGATAAGCCATAAACAGTAAATACATCTCACTGGATCCACATCCAGTCGTCATGTTGCAGTGTATTACAAGACTTCTTGTCATCCCATTTCAACGTGCTCGATGCATCATTGGCAAACATGATGTCCAATGCAATTTACTATTTTAACTTGTACAATGCGTTCTTGACATTTTTCAGGTGAATATTTGACTTGCAATTGCTTATGTTCATGACGGGTGCCTCCAGTGAGGCGGGATACGGGATACCTTTTCGCGAGCACCTGGTATCATCACTATTTTATAGTAATTCATAAACACATGCTCTGTCATCGTATCTCATGATGTCAATGATGTCTAGACTTGTACTTGTACTTGTACTGACAGACCGCCGTCATACAACTGGCGTTAAACAAACAAACATTTCAATTTCTTGCGGGTTAAAATAAACATACAGTGAAACCTGTCTAAACCGGAACCGAAATAAAATGCCGGTTTAAACATGGTGCCGGATTAGACAGTGACAATTATTTTACAACATGGCTGCCATTGACACTCGTCAATCTCCTTATCTCTATAATACCTATGCTCATACCCCGGCCTGTTTAGACAGTGTTAATTACAGTTAAAATGGCTTGTGCCGGAATACGGAACAGACAGGTGCCGGATTAGACAATGGTTTAATGATCATAATATCGTTGTAAAATGGCTGGACCAAAAATTTATGCCGGTTTTGACAGTGTGCCGGATTAGACAGGTGCCGGTGTTGGCAGGTTTCACTGTAATTGACACATCTTATCTTAAAAGTTCAGAAAACTTCAGAAAAGAACCAAGATCCATCTTTTCAAACGACAAACTGTTTTGAAAATGTCATTCCTTGGTCCATTGGTCATTTAAGAACTGGATTTTCATCGATCACTTGATTGTCTGGTTTCACATGTCAGGAGCACTGCTGTGTAACGTCGGGTGTAAATACTTACTTTTCAGGCAAAATGGGTGAATGGCGGGTGCTACCGGTACGGTGAAGACACCATCACAGATTTTCAGTGGTACATTCATATGACTTTCACAGCTCTTTGGCCAACAAACTGGAATTATTTAAGGGGGTGTAGGCATTCTTTTTGCATTGACGTTTTGGATTTACTAAACGCGATCAACATACTGGAGGCAATTGTCATTCGAAGATTTATGAGACTGAAGCAGTCTGTGAAATGTTGGACTTCGCAACAGATTCCTGAAGAATTTAGGTCAAAATAGTTTGCAAAGTATCCGTCTGGCAACAACTGTGCTCCTTTCTCATCTCTGTTTATGCATAATGAATCTAAATTTCCAGGAATGATAAAATCGAAACACAAGAAATGTACTGGAAGCATCAGGTATTTCGATGATCTGGTAGCGTCCAGTAACCATGAATAGCCAGTCCACCTTCAGTGACTTACATGAGTGAGTGAGTGGGCTGCGTTTTACGCCGATTTTAGATATATTCCAGCAACATCAGGGCGGAGGATACCAGAAATGGGCTTCACACATTGTACCCATGTGGGGAATCGAGCCCTGCCCTTCTACATGACGAGCGAACGCTTTAACCACTATGCTACCCCACCGCCCCCTTACCCACATGGTCTCGAAATATTAGGAATCAATTAAACTCGCTGATCTATTTAGTAAATAGGTCCATGCAAACGGAGGAACAATACATTATCTGCAACACTGTATGACTACAGGGACGACGCCCATTATTCAGCAGTCAACTGTCCTTTTAGTTTGAACAATATGCAAACATTTTTACGTACAGTCCAGCATGCTCTTTCTTCGAAGATTTAAAAGATTTTATGCGACTGTTACCCAATGGTTGTTTGATCAGTGTTAGCAAAACGTTTCAACGAGTTTGATTCCTTCATAACGCGTGACACCTGGGGCAAAATCAGATAACCTTCACTAATTAACAGTTATTCATATAAACACATGCCTATTTTTGGTCGGGACTGTATAATTAGTTCCACTTAATGCAGAGACTCCATATATACCACAATACATAATAATGATAGTGAATTTTACTTTATTCCCATTTCCGTCTTCACATAAGTAAGTCTTTATGAAGCCGAAACCAAGTCCAAGAGATGACAGCTCATAGATGATGGAATCATGAAGATAGCATTGAAACAATGCCCTATAATCAAATACCATATAAATATTGCAATAAATATCTGATCACTCATCACTCAAAGTATATCCCGTAGCAAGATGCAACAACAAACAGAGAAGTATTCTTGTATGAGACACAGGCATAGCTGTCCAAACTAGGGTCCCAGATACACCTGCTGGCGACTTGAACCGCCTGACTGTCATTCTGGCCTATATGGACCTGAGCAACCAGCTTATACCTCTGCCACTGGAACTCCTTAGTTTTTGCAATAATGGTACATACAAGCTCTTTGGCCAATTCAGAACATTTTTCGCCATTGTACGTAGTGTCTTTGAGTCTGCTGTCCAGTATTTCCGACATAAGGTTCTCCATCTTTGTCACGGAGAACCGCTCCTCCGATGAAGGCTGCATCCTGTAAGTGTTCTCCACGTGGAGGCTGACCCGCTTTTGGCGGTTCTCCGAGGTATCGGACCTGTTCTCCTGAGCGGGTCTCCTGCTTCCTGTCTGAGCCACTGCTCCGTTGTTAACTGTGGTGAATCTCTTCAGCGTCCCTCTCCGTCGGGATGTCCTATTGGTCACTGCCAACCTGTCCGCCATTTTCGATCTAGGAAAGGGTGTTTAGCTTTTTACTTGAACAATTTCAATGTCCAGAAACGAACGGATACACTGTCAGTCACGCCTTCGTTGACAGTCAAGCCAATAAAAATAATCGTTACCCGTTTCTATTTACCTGTTTTCCTCAATGGACATGGTTTTTCACCACAACGTGGAATTCAGTGCGTCTTAAACATTATCATCCAGCGGTCAGAGAACTAATTGAACTTGAAGCTTGCGTGTTGGTCTTGGTGTCGTGCTAGCTATTATTGCCCAGCACAAATGAACATAAACACTATAGCGTGCACGTATTGACGGTCTATTTGTTGCCTTCTGGTAGGTTGGCCAGAAAGCTAGGGTTATACGCTAAATCTTTCCTGTTGTCCTTCGATAGCCTTAGATTTGCCTGGAAGACAAAGAGATTGGATTGTATTTCAAATGTTAAATCTGTTGAACTTTGTTATAAACCCAAACTGTTGTCATTGGTTACCGAAATATTTTTTGTTTTAGGAGATGCACAAGGGTATGGAGGATGTAATTGAACGAGCGCTAGAATGGGTGGGTGAGTAGGTGGGTGGATGTTCTTTGAGTGAGTGAGTGAATATATTTTGCAGCTCAATGGTTGTATATAACTGTTTAAGTCTTGACCACTAGTGTAGGCTGTGATAGGCCAGTTTTCAGACACGATCACATACAATCACCCAGGCCAAACTTCCCACTGCTACACCGACCCACTCGATCCAGGAACCATTCACATACAGATATTGTCTACAGATTTATTCTGCGACGTAATCCCCACTGAGACGTGTTTTTGTATACGTCCAAGAAATAATTTCACAATCATCTACAGCATTTCGTCATCACATGTTTTCTCTACACTTCAACGTCACCATAAACAAATCCTGTATTGTCTAACATAGCCCCACTTCCATACACAAAATTGTCCCAAATTAAAAGAAAGAAACACTGTCCCAAATAAAAACATAAACCAAATCAAACGGAATTCAGAATACGCAAGAATGTTAAAAAACGTACCTGGTGAAGGTAAGTACGGGGTTTATCAAGATGAACACGCTATCGCACAGCCTATCTCCCAACTCCTAACATGTCGTCTGCTCCATGACAAAGCGCGCGCTGCTGTCAGCAGACGACAAATGTCGGGGAAGGCGATTGACGTGCGTGCACTCCCTGCTGTTGGCGATTTACATCTGCTCTCGAAAGCGGCTTAACAACGTGGTGTGTCTCCGGGATACAGGGAACTAAAAGGTTCACCTGGCGGGAACGTTAAGCCCTGGTGGAGAAAGTATACGATCCCCTGAAAGATCTCCCCAACGCTTAGATACCCTCTCAAACGTTTCCAGCCAGGAAGGTAGTTTGGAGTGGGTTACGCCTAACTGAGATAGTGTATAAATAGATCGCATGATCAGCATTCATATCGATATCCAGTATTTCTCAATTTTCATATATTGATCTGATCGACTGGGATGGATATGAATCGCTGGTGTTAACTTACAGTCTCCACAGTGGTTAGGAACTGGAGATCGATTTCTGATTAATTGTGTGCTTGGCTTCTGCTTGTGTGCACAACTGTGACGGGTTTATTGAGTATAACAGCCTCGGGGAGCCTTTGGGTGATTTCATGTGCTTACTATGAAGATGTTGCGACGTAAAATCGAACATGTTCCACAACATCTATCCATGACTGCTCGCATTGTTCACATTAAACTGCCAGGTTAATACGACGTGACCCCTTATCAAATCATCCTCAGGCAAACGATCGATAATGTGGTTTGTATTGGATTATCATTATTTTTATGCAGATTCGGACCTGGGAGTAAGATATTAATGCTCGCTGCACGGCTTCTTAAATGTTCCGAAGCCAGCAAGGGGGTAGGTGTATTTAGTCAGATGTATGCATCTTGCTGTAAACTCTATGTCAGTGACAACAATCACCGTTACCACCCAGGTTGGCATCGTGATCATTTAATGGTCCTGTGTGGGGATGACAGGAATACCACGAAAGACATTATTGAAATTTGAATCAATTTAAGGGTGTCTTGAATACCTCGATCGTAGATTTATACACAGTTGTCTGGACTTTAATTAAATGATCATGTTCAAGGTCTTGACTGACCGACTGAGTTTGGTTTTACGCCGCTTTTAGCAATATTCCAGCAACATCACGGCGGGGGACACCAGAAATGGGCTTCACACATTGTATCCATGTGGGGATTCGAACCCCGGTCTTCGGCGTGACGAGCCAATGCTTTAACCACTAGGCTACCCCACCGCCCCTCAAGGTGTTGACATAGTGGGGTAAGAAAAGGTATTTCAACTGAAGAAGGACCATATTTGAGTTCACATAAGGCCACCAGTGGGGAAATTCATTCCCACCTATCTATACCTGTCGTTGCGTAGATCGATGCTCATGCTGTTGATCACTGGATTGTCTGGTCCAGACTCGATTATTTACAGACCACCGCCATAAAGCTGGAATATTGCTGAGAGCGGCAACTAACCATCTCTACTGGTAGTAAGAGAAGCTTTAATTGATAGGGTGGTCAGGCACCATCATTTGCTTTACTTGGGTCTTCGAACAAGATCGATGCTTATAATATCAATCACTGGTTTTTCTGGTCCTGACCGGATTCTTCACAGCTTCCATTAGCTGTCATGCTGGATGCTGTGAACAATCCAAGCAGATGGATATGTTGGAGCATGTAATGAAGGCGGCACTCCCGCGCTTCGTATCCTTGTTCATCTGACTGTAGAGAGGGCACCGGTATGCATTATTAGCGTCATAAAGAAACCAGAAACGTGCTCACATATTGTACTCATATAGAGAATCAAACCCGGGCCTTTGGCTTGACAAACGAAAACTTTGACTACAAGACTATCCCACCCCACCGCCCTGGATCTTTAGGATGAATTACAAGGACTGGAGTTTCCACCGGTACATAGGTTGACAGATTGTGACAGAGACCATGGCGTCGAGGAAAATGGAGATGATGCCGACAAGGAAGATGGTGATGGAGTTGATGGTACAGATGAAGGAGGAACGAGGAAAAGGAGATGTTGACTGAGATAGCGATGTAGAGGAGTAGGTTGTCTGTGACACAGGTGGTGATGGAGATCATGGCGAAGAATAAAAAAATGGAGATGGCGCCGTAGATGAAGGCGTGGTTGATGACAAAGATTGTGATGGAGATGATGACGCAGACGACGACGCAAATGAAGAGGTTGTTAATGACCAAACATAGCAACAGAGATAATGAATCAGATTTTGACCAGGAAAGATGCATGCAATAATGTATAGGTGTGTCGACGTGTAAACCATGTGTACACCAACCTTAAGCCGATGTGTAAACCAAGTGTAAGCTAAATGTTAACAAAGTGTCAGCCAAATGTAAGCCAACTGTATACCAAATGTAAACAAAGTGTAGGCCATTAGTAAATAAAGTGTAAGCAAAATGTAATCCAAGTGTAAACCAAGTGTGTGCACTGAGTGCAAGCCGAGAGTAAGCCAAGCGTAAACAAGATGTAAGCCAAGTGTAAACAAAGTGTCATGAGTCATGCTCTTACTCTGAGCTATATCAACCACAAGCTTTCATTACGTTGATATTGTACATGCCACCCAAGTTTGTATGAACTGTAAAATCATCAAGCAATAAAAACATATATGTGTCGTTACAGAGTAAAATACAACCTGTTATACAACCAGTTAAGAAGGAATAGGTATCCATGAAGCGCAGAGTGGCATCAGCATAGAGGCATCGCGGTGGCACATTACGGACCGGCCCACCACTTCATTCAGTGGTGGGGGGTTGGTGTTTAGAGAGTGAGGGAGTGAGTGAGTTTAGTTTTACGCCGCACTCAGTAATATTCCAGCTTTATGGCGGCGGTCTGTAAATAAGCCAGTCTGAACCAGACAATCCAGTGATCAACAGCATGAGCATCGATCTGCGCAATTGGGAACCGATGAAATGTGTCAACCAAGCCAGTGAGCCTGACCACCCGATCCCGTTAGTCGCCTCTTACAACCAGCATGGGTTACTGAAGATCAGTCCTAACGGGTCTATATTGCAGTATAGTGAAACAGTGCTGCAGATGGTGCAAGTCAACTGTGACCGGACCGAAACAGAGTGGCACCGACATTAACGAAGCAAACGAAGGCGAGGATGGTAATTTTCACTTCGCTGCAACAGTGGTCAAGCCGGTCTTCGCAAATGCTCTACGATGACAAGTGTCTACCAATCGCGAGCCTAACCACCCGATCCCGTTAGTCGCCTCTTACGACAATCATAGGTTACTAAAGACATATTCTAACCCAGATCTTCACGGTTAGAGAGTATGTGAAAGACTTAATATAATCCAGTGATAACATGCGAAAGGTACTGCATGGTGCGGTCTGTATGTTGATATGGTTGTCTGTAGCCTGCGACAGTGTGAAAATTGATTCCTCTTAATCCGATTGTCCTCAAATTTCATCAGAGATAATTTGGCCCACAATGCATCTCCACATCACGTGTTCTCCAAAATCCTTTCTATGTACCAGTGGCTCAGCTTCCCACAATGGCGGTTTTTAATTTATGCTATGGGTTTAATGGACTTATTCCACTTTTTTAAAAGTTAATGGTAAACTAATGGCCGTTTGACTGTCTACGGATAATCGGCGTTCAGCAGAATTTAGTTCGATAACGCGATATTGATTTTTGTTGTTAAAGCAGTTCTCAGCGGGGGGCAGATAATTTACGGCAATCATGTGTAAACTGACTCAAAATGTACTCTTTACCATAGTCTGTATAATGTGCTTCGAGGGGCAATTATGCTTTAGAACTCTCGAGAACTGGTGATACAATCAGAGTGAAGTAAAGAAAGCGACGCGTATTGAATGGTTTTAAGACTGTGATTTTGCAATGTAACGGTCCCACTATTAGTTAAGAATTAAGTCACGTGTTATATTGTTATTGATAAAATATAGTAATTTTATATGGTGATCATGTTAACGAGATTTGTTGGATTGTTTAGAACACCAAAAAATCATATTATATTGGTCGGTAGTCCAATGAGTTGGAGAGCAGGGAAATATTCTTGAGATTTCAGTGCTTTGTTTGTTGTTTAGTGGTTTATTGCATAAAGCAATATTCCGACTATGTGGTGACAGTTGGTAAATATTCTAGTCTGGACCAGACAATCAAGTGATTGACAGCATTATCATCGATCTACGCAAGTGACCTTTGTCAACCAAGTCGGCGAGCCTGACCAGAGATCCCGCTAGCCCTAAGCATGGGTTGCTGAAAACCAATTCTAACTCGAATCTCACTGGTCTCGTATTCTTTAGATGTTACATTACAGTCAAACACTGTGTTTGAAAAGACCAAAGTAAATTGTTCGAGTAAACCGATGTTCGATACAACGGTGTTTGACGTATTTAGTATTTATTGTTCAGCTTCGGTTGCCATGGAGCAAGTGGCGTCAGCAGAAACCTCTGACTAACGGCGTCATTCCAACTGAAAAATCAGACTATCAAATTCAAAATTTAAAAATAAGAAACTTTTATATAGTTGTCACATTGCTGTTTTGGCGAGGTTTCTGTGTTTGTTTATTATTTAACACCGAACCTATTATCCCAGCTATTTTGAGGCGGCGTGACAGAAATCAAGTTTGGACCACACAATCCAGTGATTCAGAACTTCATAGGGTTTACTGTAATGAATGTCGTTTTCAATCGTTTAAAACAAGTTTAATGTTGTTTTGAAGGTTTTTTAGTGTGCCTCTTGTACAAATCTTACATAAACGACCAGAAAGTGAGAGACCAGGCATGAGCATAAATTTTAAAGTAATTCATTTGTCGTGGTTATGGAACAGTGAGTGAGTGAGTTTAGTTTACAGTTTAGCAATATTCCAGCAATATCACTATAGGAGACACCAGATATGGGCTTCACACATTGTACCCATGTGGGGAATCGAACCCGGACAGACCGCTTTAACCACTAGGCTACCTCACAGCCATGATAATGAAAAAACCCCACAGAAGACCACAGACGTTATTATGTCATAAGGTTGAACTAACAGAATCGAGTGGGTAAGTTTGCAGACCTGGAACCTGGATGCCAACATTTCAAAACAGCGTAGACCGATGCTCTTGATGTCAATCAATGGCTTTTCTGGTCGCGACTGGGCTATTCACATCACAGGGGCTTGTATTGCTGAAAATAATACGTCCTGGGTCCTACAAGAGTACACTGATATCCATATACATATAAAGCGTACACTGATATCCATATACATATAAAGAAGGATATATATGTATATGGATATCAGTGTACTCTTGTAGGACCCAGGACGTATTATTTTCAGCAATACAAGCCCCT